TCCTTCTGAATTAGTGTTTTCATATTCTTTGGGTAAATACCCAGTAGCATAGCACTTATTTCTTGAGAGAGCCCAAAACTACCTGATGCCTGGTCAAAAGTCAAGAACAGAGTAAAGAGTCTTGCCTACATATGTATTATGTAATGTGTGTAATAATGTAATACATAATAAGTGTATTATGTAACACATAACATTAAGATAGGATTCCTCCTACCTGTCTCCCCACCCCAACCACTTCCCTATTTCCAATGCATTTCCTGGAACTCTTCCTTTTCTGTCCCATGTTTATATTGTTTACACTGTTTACAGAGCCTGGGGGTAACAATAAATAATGTCCCACTGAATTCACTATATTGTGCCTTTTTTCATGAGCATAATTAATAGGGTCTCCAGGGCTTTCATCATTCCAAAGACAGGTGACCAAAATAGGGCAGTCAGCTCTCCCCTGAGGACTTCTGGATAATCCTTCATCCTACACCCTAATAACCCACCTGGTTATTGTGTGTGTGTGTGTGTGTGTGTGTGTGACTGCTGGAACTTATGAGTCCTTATTCTAAGGACATTTCCTGCTTTCTCTGACACCCTCTGGCTCACTTACTGGCTCCAAGTAGCCACTTTCCTACAAACTCAGAGAAATACATATTTATAGGGTATATATAAAAATAAACTTTTTTTTAAGATTTTATATTTATTTGAGAGAGAGAGAGCACGAGCAGGGTGGAGGGGCAGAGGGAGAGGGAAAAGCAGGCTCCCCACTGGGCAGGGAACTCGACCTGGGACTCGATCCCAGGATCCTGAGATCACTACAGGAGCTGAAGGCAGACATTTAACTGACTGAGCCACCCAGGCACCCCATAAACTTTTTTTTCTCAAGATTTATTTATTTTAGAGAGAGTGAGTGGGTGGAGAGGCAGAAAGAGAGGAAGAGAAGCAGACTCTGGCACTGAGCCCAGAGCCTGATGTGGGGCTCGATCCCACAACCCTGAGATCATAACCTGAGTTGAAACCAAGAGTCAGGTGCTTAACCTACTGAGCCACGCAAGCACCCCTAGACATAAACTTAATAGAAGAGAATGTAAGCTTACTGCTGCTTAGCCGAATGCTTGGCCCATGGTAGGCACCCAATAAATATTTGAATGACTAGACAAATAGACAAATATGTGAAAGCATCTTGAAGAACAGCATGTACAATACAGGTTAACGTCCTTCTTTCCAGACTCTAGCACATATTTGCTTTTAGTTTTTCCTTGTTTTAGACTATAGCTTGAGAACCAAAAAATTTAAACTAAAATTTAAATTTAGTAAGTCTAACCCAATATCTCAAAACAATATAGTTTATGTGAACTATTTACACAGCCTAAAGGGAACAAAAAATGCTTAAGAAATTACCCCCACTAAGGGATCTCTACGTTAAGAAAATCTTAATTTTCTATACAGTTGAGTAAAAAGATTATTATTTTCTGAAGATGCCCTGAAATCAGCCTGTTGTCTTACGAGTGTTTCTAGTTGTTGACCAGTTGTTGACCTTGTGTGAGTCCCTAAAAGCCCAGTGCCATTAGAGAAAATCAACCCAAAGACCACATGGAAATGATACCACTTTATAATTATTAAATGATCCCCATGAACTGTCCTAATTTGAAGATTATTATTTATTTTTTAAAGATTTTATTTATTTATTTATTCATCTATTTATTTATTTATTTGATGGGGGAGGGGCAGAGGGAGAGGGAGAGAGAGAATCTTTTTTTAAAAAAAGATTGATTTATTTATTTATTTTAGAGAGCGAGCACGAGTGGGAGGGGCAAAGGGAGAGGGAGAGAGAATCTCAGACTCTGTGCCGAGTGTGGAGCCAGACATGGGCTCAATCTCACAACTGTGAGATCACTACCGTGAGATCATGATCTGAGCCTAAACCAAGAGTCAGATGCTTAACCAGCTGCACCACCCGAGCACCCCTGAAAATTTTTATTTCTAATTCATTATCATCACATAATTTGTGAGTCACCAAATCCGTGTGACACAGTGGGAAAACTCTGGACTTGGAATCAGAAGGCCAGGTCTAAATCTGCTTGACAAGGTTATTGTGAAGATTAAATGAAGTACTACTACTAATAAAAACATCTATTGAACACCTACTTCATATTGTATATGGAGCTAGATGTGTTACATATATTAAGTTCTCAAAAAAACCATTGTGAAATATGCAGCATTATTGCCACATTACAGACGAGGAAATGGGGGCTCTGGGAGGTGGAAAAAGTGGCCAACTTTCCACAACCTTTCAAGATGCGGTGCTAGGATGCATGTAAAGGGCTCTCGCTAGGATGTATGTAAGCTGGAACTTGCCATAAGAATGTAGGGTGTCTAATTGCAAAGTGTCTCTGAAAGAAAGGATCATTTCTATTAATATCGCTTCTCTGGCAGAATGGATCAAACCAACTTAGATCCAGGAGCCAGAAACTCATCTAATCTCAACCACAGACCATCACGTGTGCAAGTTGCTTTTCTTCGCTTCCTCATTTATGTTTTCCCAGTTTCCATATTAGTAACTTATATGTGGACTGCACTGCCCACATCTCAGGATGTCACGAGGACTCACTGTTTAGAAAACTTGCAAAGATCCACTTTTCAAATCACCCAAATATTCCAAAGAAATTGTTGTGAGTTTTGCTCTTTGAGGTTGCATTTGGGTCAATGTCATGGCAAAGGCAGAGAAAGAGCCTAGGCGTCTGCTTTTCCACCTCCGTGTCTACCACCATATAGTCTCCTGGTGACTTGGTGTTTATGTATGATTTTTTTCCTTAAGTATTGTTTCCGGATATCAACTTGATTCAGGTTGCAAAATAGTAACTGATACACACACACAAACTCCAAACTGTCACCTTCCTCAGCTAGCTATATAGTTAACTTTTAAGTTGCCTGAGAATAGACAGATCTATGCAAATTAGATATACATTTCAAAACAATCCATTCTTTTTTTTTTTTGACAGAAAGAGACAGCGAGAGAGGGAACACAAGCAGGGGAAGTGGGAAAGGGAGAAGCAGGCTTCCCTCTGATCAGGGAGCCCGATGCGGGGCTCGATCCCAGGACCCTGAGATCATGACCTGAGCTGAAGGCAGACACTTAACTGACTGAGCCACCCAGGCACCCCAACAATCCATTCTTATTTACCTATTTTTTTATTATGTTATGTTAATCACCATACAGTACATAATTAGTTTTTGATGTAGTGTCCCATGATTCATTGTTTGCATATAACACCCAGTGCTTCATTCGATACGTGCCCTCTTTAATACCCATCACCAGGCTAACCCATCCCCCCACCTCCTCCCCTCTAGAACCCTCAGTTTGTTTCTCAGAGTCCATAGTCTCTCATGGTTCATCTTATTTACCTATTTTTTTAAGTAAGCTTTACACCCAATGTGGGGCTTGAACTCATGACCTTGAGATCGAGTCACATGCTCTACGGACTGAGCCAACCACGTGTCCCCAGTCCATTTATTTATTTATTTATTTATTTATTTATTTATTTATTTGAGAGAGAGAATGAGAGCACGAGAGGGAAGAGGGTCAGAGGGAGAAGCAGACCCCCAGCTGAGCAGGGAGCCCGATGCGGGACTCGATCCCGGGACTCCAGGATCATGACCTGAGCCGAAGGCAGTCGCTTAACCAACTGAGCCACCCAGGCGCCCCATCCCCCGTCCATTTTTATGTATTGTTTTATAGGTGGTGCAATCTCAGTAGAAAATCCTAAGGGTCTTGGTGTCATTTGTTTAGTCAACAAATACTTATTGGATGGCCACTAAGTGCCAAGCAGGATGCCATGAACTTTAATGAGTGCACTACACGAGACAAAGGCCATCTCTGCATTCACGGAGTTTGTAGTCTAGCAGGTGAGGCCAACGTGGGAGCAATAATCACAATACTAGCAGATGTGCCAAGTTCTAGCCAGGTCAGGATGCAGTGAGAACGCGTCATGGAGACTCTCAGCTGCCTGGCGTTCCAAGCACAGCTTCTTTGAGGAAGTTATATTTCAGCTGAGACAGGCTACCATCTGCCCGGGGTTGTGTAACTGTCTTCACATCCCAACTGTGACACTTGGACATGTTAATGTCTTAAAGCCTGAGTCCTCCTGTGTAAACTGAGCATAATACACACTTGGCAGGGAGGTGGAAATACGAGAGAATACAAGGAAAGCATCTCCTAGGGCATCAGGCATATAGAGTGAGCCGTAAGTGCATGGTGCTTTTCACAATTATCTATCAATGTAAGGCATCAAAGGAAAACTGAAGGAGATTGCCCAACAGCTAAAGATAAATTTACAGAGGAGAAATTTGGCAAAGACTCCAAATTGGAGAGATAGTCACCACCCCAAACTCAGGCTTGGCGTCCTGAATTTCAGGTGCTGGAGCACCTGATACTTTAAGGCTCTGCCAAGTGTTGTTTTCATGATAAGCTGGTAGGAATTTTTGAAGGTTGATCTCTTTCTAGCTGTGGGTGAGCCAACGCCCAGGTCCGACTTCTCAGGTAAAAGTAAGACGTCTGGGAAACAGCTCTCTGGTCAGAGGACACACGGTTAATCAAGAGACAAGCAAGCGTTTATAAGCCAGATGAGGCGGGCAGCGATGAATGCCCAGCTGGAGGTTCTAGTTGAGCGTCAGAAGACCCGGCGCCAGCCACATGAGGCCTGGAGTGGGAACCGTGCTCAAGGACCTTGTGCTCTGGGGTCGGGATGCCCAGGGCCGGTCCGCGGGCGCTCCCTCTCCAGGGCTCCTGGGCACTTGGCTCCTGGCCAGGTCCGCACCCTCCGGGTGGGTGTGGGTGATTCCGTAAGTGGGCGTGACCGGCCCGGAGGGGAAAGCGTGCAAGGAAGTGGGAGCGAGCGGGGGAGGCGGGGCGGCGGGAAGAGGGAGCAGTGGGAGGGATGCAGGGCAGGAGTGGGAGGGATGCAGGGCGCAGTGGGAGGGGTGAGGAGCGAGGGAGAAAAGGGCGCTGTGACGGGGCGGGAGGAAGTGCGCGAGTTCTCAGCTCCGGCTGCGAGGCGGCTGGCGGGTGGGCCGGCCAGGTGAGCCCGAGATGCCGCTGCACTGGAAGCCGGGGCTGCAGCTGCTGCTGCTCCTGGGGCCGCTCGGTCCCTTCTCCCCGGGCGCCCGGGCGGGACCCGCGCAGACCGAGGACGCCGTGGAGCTGCGCTTCTCCACCGAGCGGCCGGTGCACCTGGTGAGTCCCGCGTTCCTGTCCTTCACCATCGACGCCAACCTGGCCACCGACCCGCGGTTCCTCACCTTCCTGGGGTAAGCGCCGGCCGGCCTGTCCCTGTGTCCTGCCTTCCTGACATCCACGCCCGGGGCGGACCTTTATCTCCCTCCGTCTCTCGGTCTCTGTCTCTTGCCCTCCCTCCCTCTCCCGAGGCAGCCGCCCCCAAACCGCTCTTTCCCGCCTTCATTCATTCAGCAAGTGTGGCCTGAGCGCCAACTAAGGGCCAGGTATTACGGGGAAATTGGGAAAAGAAATTTCCCACCGACCCCAGAAACATGCCTGGAGGAGGGGACCCAGGCAAGTGCGCCTGGAGGGCTATGAGCCCTTGAATTTGCAGCACAGTATAGAACAGTAAGATCGTGGACCAGGCTTACCGCTCTTAAACTCTGTTAGGAAGGTTAAAAAAAAAAAAAGTTAGAAAAGGTCTCAAAGGAAAATAAGTGTGTGTGTGTATAAAATATAATTTTATATATTTTAAAATAAACTTTTAAAGAGCAGTTTTAGGTTCACAGCAAAGTTAAGCACAAGGTAGAGATTTCCAGTATTAGACTATTTTTTAAAAAATCTAAATATTAAATAAATGAGACTTAGGAGACCATTGCAGTGACTTACAGAGCCTGAATAAAAAGATATTTTTCCAACACGAGGCTGCAAAATCAGCCGTAATTTTTTTTCTCGCCTGAGAGAGACAAACTGGTGCTTGTTCACTGGCCATTGCCCCATGAGTGCAGGCTGATCCCAGGACAGGGAGCTGCAGGGACAGTCCCGGGTCATCTAGGCCACTTATCTAGGTCATGAGAGCCTCCAGAGATGGCCACACCTCAACCAGTCCAAACAGCTGGGAATCTCCTCATTCCCAGACACCTACATGTTCTCCTGCCTACGCCCATGCTGTCAGCTGCCATTGCTAATTTTGGTCATGTATTCTGTAAAGAAAAGCAGGTAACCTAATGGTGAAGAGACTGGCAGTCAGACCACCCTGGCTTGATTCCCAGCTCCGCCAAAGATGGCTGGCTTGGTTGTTATAGGAGGCTTGGCAACTCCAAGCCTCCATTCCTTCACCTGTAGCATAGAACTTCTAAACGGTTTGTAGGACTGTTATGAGGATTTCATGAGATAATAAATAAGTAGGGAGCAAGGGTTTGACACAGAGTGTTCAAAATTTAAGCTCATTGCTTCTTCCTGGAAAATGATGAGTATTTACTAACCGTTCACCAGTTCTCTGTGTGTCTCTTTTGATCATAGCTAGCCTCCATCTTTCTCTTTGGCAGGGGAGGGAGAATTGCCTGGTGCAGAGGAAGCCCAGCCCCACTTTTTGCCCTTCCTCTTGGGGCTAGGAAGCTGATATCACACAGCAGGTGGTTGGGAGAGACGGAAAGATGACTCTGGAGAAACTCTGAACTGTGGGCTCAGTATCTGAGGACCCCGGGCCTAGCTTGGGAGGTGGGGTGGGGGCATGGGAGGGGAAGAGACAGTGTGAGGTGCCCTGCTGAAAACAGAGGCACTAACTGAACCACTTACTGAAATGTGAGAACGCCAGGCCTTTTCTGATGCTGAGGCTACCATGTGCCCCGCCCTTCCCCAAGGAAGGCATCTGGGGATTCTTCCTGGAGAAACAGATCCAAAAGAAAAAACCTACAGCACAACTTTGGGGATCCAGGCCTGAACACCCTGCGGTGGAGCTAACCAGTTGACTAGCACCACCCTCATCCTCCCCACCCCCAACACACACAGAACTTCGGGTCTGCAATTCAGCAGGGGTGATACTTTGTCTCTTCATTTCCCATATCTCTTTCTTCCCCCTGGCCCCCACCTTTTGGTTAAAGGCGGGAGGATAATGAAACCAAAAGAGTATAGTGTGCAATAGATAAAAGTATTTCTTTGGTTTACAGAACTCAGTGTATCCCTCTTCATATGGGCTTCTCTCCTGGGCTGGCTCCTGACCACTCCAGTCCACTCCCTTGGCAAAGGCTGTCTTCAATGCCTGCTCCCCAGGGGCTTCTGCAGCACTTCCAGCTATTCCCAGCTGCGACTTACAAGACTGACGCTCGAATAGGCAGGAGCTTCCTCTCGCTGTCTGCTAAGACCTGACTTCTGATTTAGGGTCTTTGAGAGTCCACCTCCCCAGGACGGTTAGCACAGTGCCCCAAGGGATCTGCCCATCTCAGATGGCAACACTAAGCTTAATACCTGTGAGATGGGTGTTGTTCTCTTCTAGTTCCTCAAAAGTGAAGATGCTAAGGCAAAGATGGCAAGAGCTGAGCAGATGAAAGCTGAAGGAACAGGGAGAGGGTAACAGAAATAGCTGGTGCCATCTGAGCCTTCGGCATGTCATGTCCTCTTCCTAGCATCTCCTAGGTTTTGATCCATTTAGTCCTTACTACAAGACTATGAGGGCAGGACTATTATTATCTCCATTTAAAAAAAAAATGAAGAGGGATGCCTGGGTGGCTCAGTAGGTTAAGCATCTGCCTTCGGCTCAGGTCATGATCCTGGGATCCTGGGATTGAGTCCCGCATCGGGATCCTGGCTCAGCGGGGATCCTGCCTCTCCCTCTGTCTGCCACTCCCCTGCTTGTGCTTTCTCTCTCTCTCTCTGACAAATAAATAAAATCTTTAAAAAAATAAAAAAAAATTTAATTTAAAAAATGAAGAGTGAGGTTTAGGGAGACTCAGTAAATGACCCCTAGTCAACCAGCTGTTCATGAAGTTGCAGAGTCTGAGCCCAGATACTAATTGCAGGTACAAGAGTGCACAAAAATAAAGTAAGCAGTATATAGATATAGATTCTTTATTTAAATTCAATTTAGTTAACATACAGTGTATTATTAGTTTCAGGGGTAGAATTCAGTGATTCATCAGTTGCATACAACACCCAGTGCTCATTACACCATGTGCCCTCCTTGCTGCCCATCACCCAGTTACCCCATCCCCCCATGCACCTCCCCTCCAGCAACCCTCAGTTTGTTTCCTAGAGTTCAGTGTCTTTTATGATGTGCTTCCCTATTTTCATCTTATTTTATTTTTCCTTCCCTTCCCCTATGTTCATCTGTTTTGTTTCTTAAAAGCAGTTTATATCTTTTAAAGGCAGTAGGGTAGGGTATAGAGGAAAAAGAATGCCCAGAAACAAATTGAGAAGACTGATGTAATGAAAAGAAGGACTGACCTGAGAGTGGGAGAATCAGGGCCCAGACCTCAGAGCTTCAACAGAGGCCTGAGCACATTTAATCAGGTGGCATTGTTCTGGTTTCCCACGATGGCAAACAGATGTGGTTTTCCTTTTTTTCACATTTGTAATTAGAGAACGTAGAGTACACAGAACTTAAATGCCAGTGATAGAACATTCTAGAATTGGAAAGAAGCATCTTTTCAGTGTGTCTTCTTCCCAGAGGTAACTAATCAACAACCCAATCAAAAATTTCCTATGCCTGACTATGTGCAGAGCTCCGAAGAGGCACTGACCCTCAAAGATGGGGGGAGGGGGGTCGAGACCAGCACTGCTCAGTAGGAATATAATGTGAGCTTCATGTGCCAGCTACATATGCAATTTAAAATTTCCTAGTAGCCATGTTAAAAAATGGTAAAAGAGGGGCGCCTGGGTGGTTCAATCAGTTAAGCATCCTGACTCTTCTTTTTTTTTTTTTTTTAAGGTTTTATTTATTTATTTGACAGAGAGAGACACAGTGAGAGAGGGAACACAAGCAGGGGGAGTGGGAGAGGGAGAAGCAGGCTCCCCGCAG